AAGCTTAGACTGAAAGTTTAAAGTATTTCTAAGTTTTAAGTAACTTAAAGTATAAAAGTAGTTTTAAATGTAAAAGTATTTTAAGTAATTCATATTTTAGGTTGTTAAAGTTTAAAAGTCATTTTAAGTTTTAAGAAAGTTTAATATTAAAGGTAGCTTTAAGTAGCTTAAACATTTAAAGTAGTTAAGTAGTTATGTTTTTATGTAGCTTAACAGGGAAGTGAAACACTCAAATTTACATTATTTTGTACATTGAATTCTACTTTAATGAAAATATATATTAGGCAAACTGGAATAATGTATGTGTGTGTTTTGATGTGGGTGTATGCATGCATCAAGTTTATATGTATATATGTAAGTTTCATAAATGTTGTTTTGAACATAGGTTTATATGCGAGTAATGTATAGGTGCATATACAGGTGTTTTATGTGTTGATACAGTTTGATTTAAATCCTACATGGCGCCTCATACGATCAACTCAATCTCTGAAAATGTATGAAGAACATTAAAACCTGCCATGTGAAAAACAGCGCCTATCTTAGCTTGGTTTGAACACCAAAAGAGGTGAAGGCTTTAGTGGAGAAGAGTAAATGTACCCGCCCCTATGACGTCACCACCGGACCTGGTTGAAACCAAGGCTGAAACAGGTGAGACCATATTTGGCGCGTGACACGTGACTATCTTTGGCGCGTCTGCTAAATAGGTTAATAACCATCTGATGCTGAGTGAGCTTCTCTTTCATTATGACCAGGGGCGGACTTACCATAGCCAGCACCAGGACATTTCACGTTGACCTAATGGTCAATCTGGAGTGCCACCGTGAATCTGGACCAATCGCCCACCACCAAGCGTGTAAGTGTATATGTCTGTGTGTGCACGTGTGTGACAATATGCCTATCTTTTTATTGAAAAGGGCCACCCCTTCTCAGCTGTGTTTTTCAGCATTGTGGCTGATTTATAGAATGTATACAATTCTCAGTAGGTCTGTGCAATTTATCGAAAATTCGATTTAGTTTTTTACTTATGATTATAAAAAAAACATTAATCAAGATAAACGATTATTGCATCATATACCGCCCCGTTTAAAGCTGTACACATTTGTTGCTCTGCAAAGCTCAGTTCCACGTGAAAATGACTAAAACCATGTGCTGTAATTTTTGCAACACGGGATGCGCATCATGCATTGATGTACGTTCGAATCCTTCATATTTTTAACAGCGCGTAAGAGCACGTGCTGTTGGGTGTGTGCGAGCCTCGGAGCCATCTTAATGTGAGTGCTTTAATGGTCAAATACATGCACATTTGTGCCAGAACGCGGAGTTTAGTGATTATTCATAATAACTCTCGTTTGTGTAATAAATAAGTTGAGTATCTTGTATATTTGAGTATATATGTATAAGACATGTGAAAGAGAAACCATATCAGAGCCGCACTATTCTTAAAGAGACAGCGCGCTGAAAGAGCACGTGCTGTTGGGTGTGTGCGCGCCGCATGGAGACATGCAGAGCATACACATTTTAATGTGAGTGCTTTAATGGTCAAATACATGCACGTTTGTGCCAGAACGTGAAGTTTAGTTATTATTCATATTAACCCTCGTTTGTGTAATAAACAAACAAGTTGAGTATCATGTATAGCTGAGTATATATATGTGTAAGACATGTGAAAGAGAAACCATACCAGAGCCGCACTATTCTCAAAGAGACTTTTTCATTATTGTTAATAAAACAACAAATGGAGAAAATCTCTGCCCGCTGCTTTTGACTGAAGGATTTTTTTAGCAAAAGCATTTCTTACAGTGAAGATGCCTAAAGCACAGTTTAAACTTAACAAATTTAATAACTCATTTCTAATAACTGATTTTAATTTATCTTTGCTATGATGACAATACGTCATATTTTACTAGATATTTTTAAGATACTAGTATTCAGCTGAAAGTGACATTCAAATGCTTAATTAGTGTAATTAGGCAAGTCGTTGTTTAACAGAAGTTTCTTCTGCAGACAATCAAAAATATATATTGCTTAAAGGGGCTAATAATATTGAGCTATTAAAATAGATTTTAAAATATTTAATCCTGCTTTTATTCTAGCCGAAACCAAACAAATAAGCCTTTCTCCAGATGAAAAAATATTATAGGAAATACTGTAAAAAAAATTCCTCCGTTAAACATAATTTGAAAAATATTTATATATAAAAAAATTCACAGAAGGGCGAATTTTCACTTCAACTGATAATCGTTTTAAGTAAATCGCGATTACAACTATGACCAAAATAATCCCAATTATGTTTTTTTCCCATATGAGAAACTGTATTTCTCTCTGTCTCTCATTTTAATTACATTACAGCATCAATTCTTTAAAAGGAACACTATAAAATTGAAAAAGGCACAATAACTGTTCACCGGTAGTTTATCAATATGGGAAGAAACAATAGCTCAGCATATACCCTCGATCAATTTGTGAACAGATGTACAGTGGAAATAATTAAAACCTCAGATTTAAAAATTGGCTTAAATAAACATCAAATAAAATTTAGAGAAGTTAGATTATTATAAGAAAAGTATTACAAAAACTGTTAAGGGTACCTAATATTTGAAATAAAACTACACCTTCTCTGAACTTTACAGATTTCCATGAGACAATTTGTTTTATGATTGGGTGCAGGGAGCCGAGTACTGCTCAGGAACAACAAACACTATAGAATCACTACCAAGGAACACTGATTCCTTTCGGTTTTTTTAATACATGTCCCTCTATGAACTTGGTATGTAAAAAAAAAAAAATAATAAGTGCGTCACTACCAGCACTGTAACACAGTTTGACATAACGTAATGTTTTACAGCATGTACCTTCACTTTAATAAAGCTTGAAAGAATTCACACTTACTGTTCCCTGTATGCCGTGATGGAGGTGGGTGATGAGAATTTGGCAAATGGATAATGGTGTAGCCATAAATAATTGAAATAACATAATTATTATTAAAACTTAAAAGGTTGACTTGACAGTTTGATTTAAAAGTTTGATATAGTTCAAAAAGTTTTATGATAGTTAATGGTGTGAAATGATTAGACTTACTATGTCATGCAGAATTATAATGGTAAATAAACACAATTTCACATTTCATTTTTTATTAATTACAATTGTATAATTGTGTTAGTTAACAAAACCGAAATACACATAGATTGTTTCAAATATTTAATTCAACTAGCCTAATGTAAAATAGAAACCGTAAAGAACAAAGGTAAAACAGAACTGTAAAGAACAAATTTAAATGACTGTAGCCTAATTGAGAAAATTAAGCAAACTGGAAACTTTACTTGAGGGTTGTTCATTAGACTGTCATGAAAACTTTAGAATCATGACACGATATGTATATGAAAGAGTTCATGCATGCTTATGACAACTGTCATTAGCACAGTTATGTCATTTTAAATGCTAAAATTACATAATGTGACATGGCAACACGTTCATAACAACATGACATAAATGCATCGTAACCTATTTTTTGCTTTGTGACACCTAATGACAGTTGTGATAAGCATGCAAAAAAAAAGTTTTATTCATTATACATGTCACGATTAAAAAGGTGAGAGTTTTTTGAACACCCCTTGAACCTTTCCTCACAAACCCTAGAAAAGGCAGTCCATTGAGTCCTGAGTGTCTTCTGGATGGACCTGATTGGGGTCAGCAGATCCTCCACTGTGAACATCTGGAGGGCCCTGATCCGCATCAGCAGATCCTCCACTGGGAACATATGGAGGAACCTGATCCACACTGGCAGATCCTCCACTAGGAACGTCTGGAGGAACCTGATCCACACTGGCAGATCCTCCACTAGGAACGTCTGGAGGGACCTGATCCACACCAGCAGATCCTCCACGAGGTACGTCAGGAGGGACCTGATCCACACCAGCAGATCCTCCACAAGGTACGTCAGGAGGGACCTGTTTCACACTGGCAGGTTCCACGTGGAGGACGCTTCCACAAATGTGCCTGAGTTTTAATTGAAGCGGGAGCTGGTTTGCCAGCTCCTCAATAGTGCCTGCATAGAAATGTACAGGCACTATGTACTCATCCATATGGCTATCCAGGAGGATGAGCTTGTCGTGCATCTCTGACACTCCAACGATCTCAAGAACTGCCTCCTGGATATCCCTATCAATAAGCTGAAAAACAAAAAAAAATTAGAAAAGGTTAGTAGAAAAGATTCAACCTGCATTTGATAAAAGTAATCGTATTTTCTGTGGATTAAGTTATCTTTTTTTTAATCATAAAGGGCGCCTATTTTATCAATTTTTTTCAAGGTTTAAGATAAGTTTTTGTGTCTCCAGAATGTTTTTGTAAAATGTTGGCTCAAAATACCCATCAGATTATTTATGATACCTTTCTCTATATATGAAATTTGATCTGTAATGATATTATAGCTGTTTTGTTGCTTGTGCCTTTAATGCAAATGAGCTAGTTCATTAAGTTAAATCCCAAATTAATTTGCACATACAGTATTTTATAGAAACTATTCAAAAGTGCAATGCTATATACTAATTGCAAATAAGTGTTTTCAGATTCATCAGATGAACTACATTTTGGTAGAAAAAATATTTTTTTTCGTATACATTTTCCAATAAGTTATGTAATGCGAACAACAGAAAAAAAAAACCTAAGGAAAAGTTTAATTTGTACTCTTCGTGTTATTTGAATCAAACAGCCTTCTGTGATGTTTTATCCACTGTTCATCTGACACTACTATAATCGTTATTAAGGCAACAATGTCATTTCATTTCTAAATTTTTAATGTCTCTTGAAGGTTAACACTTTTAAATGTGTGTGGATTACAGATGTGCAGCATATAATGTGTACCTTAAAAGTTGTGTGATTAGAAGAGTCGAATTTTGCTCTTCCATCTGGTCTTCCGTTTACTTTCAGGTGACTGAGCTCAATGATGTCCCCGACATAGAGCTCATTAAGTGCTTCTTCCCGCCACAGTGAGACATCGTGTACTACGGAGCCACATTTCAACCGCAGGTCCAGGATCGGTATGTGAGTGCGAGTCATTCTGGGCACTTCAACCTGGAAAATGACAAAAAGGTAAGTACTATAGTGTTTTTATTTATTTATTTTTTTCTTAATCCTGACACAATAATTTACTGTCATTGAGTCGGACTGTTTGTTTTGGTGATTTGAAATGTCAACATTAGCAGAAATCGCCTGTCTAAAGACATGCGGTACAGCTGAATTGGGTAGAGTAAATTGTCTGTTGTGAATGAGTGTATATGTGTATGAGTGGATGTTTTCCTAGAGATGGCTGGCAGCTGGAAGGGCATCTGCTGCGTAAAACAAATGCTGGATAAGTTAGCGGTTCATTCTGCTGTAGCGACCCCCAAATTAATAAAGGGACTAAGCCGAAAAGAAAATGAATGAATGAATTCACTTACTTTTTCTAACTGCCCCCGTAGACTCAGGTACCCAGTTTCACTGAAGATATCCTCTTCCTCTCCTGTTATAGGTCGTGAAGGAGGACAGAGGGCCTCCCTTGCAGCTCTTTTAGCCTCCTCACTTATGGCTAGCGGAGCCGTCCTAAATTTGATGGTGCCTTTATTTACAAATAAACATCGGCGGCCATATTTGTTTGAGATGGTTACATTTTTTACAATATATGAGTGTCCCTCTTCAAATTCAGGGTCACTGCCGTTTTTTATGGACAGATAAACTGCATCACCATCCGTAAGGGCACATAAAGATGTTACTTTGTAGGTGTCAACAATTATTTTGTTTTCATGTTTAATAAATGTCACAGCCTTTTGGCTACTGTGCACTTTAACACAAGTGATGTGCAGTGGTGGTGGGCGACTGTACGGTGTTGCCATCCTAAGAATAAGAAAAAAAGGTTACTTTGTATTAGTTGTAAATATTATGTAGAATAAATTATCATTTCTTTTTAACTCAATTCATCAATTAAACATATCAATTAATCTAAATCTGTTTGTCTTGACTGGAATGTTGTGCTACATCCTCCTTCAAAATATCATATATTGTGTTTTATAGAAGAGAGAAACACAAAGATTTGTAAGCATATAAGGGGGGAGTAAATTGTTAATTTTTTTTTTTGTGAGGGGGGGGGGTATTTATGCTTTTAAAGATTATTAAATATTTTGCATGGCCAGAGTCTAACAATCTAGACCCAAATCAAGGCCTTCCTAACATCTCAAGCATAAAGACAATAGGAAAATAATTGGCATACAATGAAGAGTCAAACTCTTTAAAACCAATAATTTACCAAACTTGTCACCAGTAATAGTTAATTTTACCAAATCATGCCCTAGGTGGGTGTGGAATATCCTGACCTAACATTGTCTCAGTCTGCCAATGCATAGTACTGTATAACTATAATCATATTGGCATATCAGAAATAACAATTGGATAATTTATAAATTGACACATTTTTACAGAATACCATCGCTGCACTGTTTTATGAAACTTGTCACACTAAGTCCTGCCTCTGACAATATAGTTTATAATGCTGTAATTGTTAAAATGAGGATAAAATACCTGGAAAAAACACTTCCTATCAGATCAAATCCTGTCAGAAAAACTATTATAGTTTACAGATTTCTATTTATTTCTTTAGATTTTGAGATTCTTGGTATGGGATTTCATCGAGGTCTGCAGTGTAGTATACAATTCATTGAAAATCCAGTAATAAATAATGCATTTATTCTTAGGAGTATTAACCTGTGCAGATACTCTGAGCACCGTTAAATATAAGCCAGTTATTTTTTTATATTTTATTATAAATTGGGCATATAGTATTACACTGTTTTATTTATATAGAGCATTTTTCTAAAGTTTTTTTATTTTTTTTATTTTATTATTACACAAGAAGTTTGTAAAGGGTTCACTGTGAACATCAGCCTGCTTTCAAGATTTAAGGTAAGTCTTTTGTGTCTTCAGAATGTGTCTAAAGTTTCAGCTCAATACCCATCAAATTATTTATTATTCCTTTCTGGATATATATTAAAACTCACATGAACATTATTTGAAGTAAAAAGTTAAACACTAACACAGCTGAATCAAACATTGAGTATTATTTAATTATACGACTAGTCTGTAACAGTTAGCAGGGTTTTTCACAGGATTTTTATGGAAGTGGTAATTTCTTATAATTCTTTATTTCAGTCACATTAACTTTTATAAAGTTAATAAAGTAAAAAACTAATTTAGATAAAATTGCCTCAAACACTAAAAACCCCATTCCCGGCGTATAAATGATCATACTATAATTATTAAACTTAACGTTACGCATCCAGCTGTATTCTGACAAGATTTGACTGGACAGAAGTGTTATCTGAGGTATTTAAAAAAAACCAAAACCATGTTAATTTATAAAGGCATCTGTAGAATTTATAGTATAATATCATAATTTAATTATACTGTAATCATAATCATATAAAAGCTAAATAAGAATTAAAAAGCTCTCACCTCAAAAGTATGCTGTCTGTTGTACAACTGAAAGAATTGACAGTGATGTGTATCCAGTCAGGAGCGAGACATCATCACCAAGGCTCATGACGTCAGATAGAAACCTTTATCGAATGGTGTTCATGCATTTTTGTTTATTATTTTTATTCATATAATAAATGTTGATTGACAATGTGGCGCATCCAATCGGAAGCGAGACATCCATCACCAAGGCACATGACGTCAGATGGATGTCCATGTGGATTGACAGTGAGGCGCATCCAATCAGAAGCGAGACATCCATCACCAAGGGACATGACGTCAGATGGAAACCTTTTATCAAATTATATCCATGTCTTTTTTATTTTATTCATGTAATGTTAATTGTTCTTTTAAATTCATTATATGTAGTACATTGAAACATTTCTGAGGTCATAATTCATTAAAATATCACAGTGATTTATTCTCTTATTAAATGAGTAATGTATTACGTTGGTCACTAGAGTGTTAAAAGACGATTGTATGCTTATCAAAACAATTATTACGATTTTGTTTTGAGTTTTATCAGTAGCAATACTTATAATTTTAGTTGATATCTTTTATATTTATAATTATATATTGTACCTTATTTTGTACTAATATTTTTTTAGATATAAGCAAGATAAGTTTGCGAAATACCTTGGTATTTAAAAAAAAAAAGGTAAACAAATATTAACGTAAACATAAGGGTTGGCCAATGAGACCGCTGGGATTTTCCATAACCTGTCCTTAATCATCCGGTCCGATTGTCCGCACATTGGGTCTCGCATTAGGAACGATTTCTGAGGTAAAATTTTCAATTAAATGTTAAAAAAATGCGTACGAGGACTTAAATTGGCTAACGTTATATTCAGACAGATATATTATGAACTAATTGTTTTTGTGAAACGAATAAATCATTATTAAGCATTACTATTAAATTAGTCTTGTGAGGGAACTATACCGGATGGTGTGTGACGAATTTTGTCATCAGTCTAATGTACTCGCATTTTATACCTCCTGTTCGTTATTTTGCCATGTAAACCGTATTAATTCAGTTTGTAACGTTTGACCCCTTAACGTTATATGCTTTATAAAGACATGCAGTCGTTTGTCACTACATAAACTCTTGACTTTTATCCCAAACGTATGCATTTTTTCTGTTAGTCTCCAGATTTGATGAAATATTGATGGATTCTTATGTCTTTACTTGATATTTTACCATTTTTACCCATACTGTGGCGATGAACTTAGAGCTTCATGCCCATTTCATTCATACGGGAAACCAGAGGGCGCCATACATTAAAGGCCTTTCGCCTAGCGCAGGGGTGCTCAATCCTGTTGCTGGAGATCTACCTTCCTGCAGATTTCAGTTGGTACCCATATCAAACACATCTGCCTGTAATTATCAAGTGGTGTGCAGGTCCTAATTAATTAGTTCAGGTGTGCTTGATATGGGTACCAACTGAAATCTGCAGGAAGGTAGATCTCCAAGAACAGGATTGAGAATCCGTGGCCTAGCGGATCGCACGTAGATATTTACACGCACGTCGTCTTTCCTTTGTTTACTAGCGTTGCTAAGCAACGCAAACAGATGACAGTAAAAACTTAACCCGTTATATAAGATGTAGTAAAAGCATTTTCATAGTATTCTCATTTTGTACATTTTATTTCTCATTCTGTGATAAGAATTTAGCCTAATGTAACCTTAGGAAAGCAGCACATAAACCACAGAAGTAGTTAAAGTGCTGCTTAACAGACAGACAAATAATGAAACTTTACATAATTATCTTAATAGACACATATTCATCCATCCCTGTGTATTATTTGGCACGTCTCCCTTTTCAATTCAGTTCAATAATTGTTTTTTTTTTTTGGCATGACAAAATGTTTGGCCAGATAAACAATAAATGCCTGTCTATGTACTTATACTTAATATTCTAATGGTTCGACATTATATATTAACAATAACAATACAATTTATTCCTGGCTCAAAATAAGGCAGAGGTGGTGATCAAGAATTTTTTTTCCTACTTAAAACAAACACATTTTGCATCAAGTAAATATAATTTAATTGAAAAGAGACATTAAATGTAATTACAAAACATTATTAGCTAATCTGTTTATTTAAAGTAATCTCACATTCTATGATATATATGAGTAAATATGAAATGGATGCAACAATAATTTAAAGTGACGCAATGGGTAGCACGATCACCTCACAGCAAGAAGGTCGCTGGTTTGAGCCTCGGCTGGGTCAGTTGGCATTTCTGTGTGGAGTTTGCATGTTCTCCCCGTGTTGCCGTGGGTTTCCTCCGGGTGCTCCGGTTTCCCCCACAGACCAAAGACATGTGGTATAGGGAAAGTCTGTAGTGTGTGTGTGTGTGTGTGTGTGTGTGTGTGTGTGTGTGTGTGTGTGTGTGTGTGAATGGGTGTGCATGGATATTTCCCAGTGATGAGTTGCAGCTGAAAGGGCATCCCCTGCTTAAAATAAATGCTGGATAAGTCGGCGGTTCCTTCTGCTGTGGCGACCCCTGGTTAATAAAGGGACTAAGCTAAAAAGAAACTAAATGAATAATTTACAGAAGTGTTTTATTAAACTCGAAAAAACTGAATTGAACTAAGTCTGAGACAGACCAAGGGTATTTTAAAGCTTACTGTACAATTATTTCAAAGATTTTTTTTCTGACTACTGATGAAATGAGACCAAAAATAAAATAATAAACCAGCAAAATCATGTTCACAGCACAAATGCCATAATGACTTCATCACGTGTAGCTGTGACTGGCTACCTAATTGTTGTCAAGGTGGATGTGGTACAAATTTAACAAGAGAGAATTTTCTATGCAAAATCATGAATAATAATATTGTAACTTTAAACTAATATCAGTGAACTATAATAATGATTTCTTTATTTTCTTTTCATTGCTTGTCTATAAATGTGCCATGTCTATATCTTTGTATACCAGATCATTGCACCCTCTGCTCCAAGTTATCTTTTAACTAAATGTTTTGGCAGTAACTGTCAAGGTTTGTATTTGTTTATTTATTGATCTACTTATTTTTTACTCATCTTTTAGATTGTGTTGTCCTCTAACACTTCTTCCAGCTGAAGAGTGATCACC